ACTCTGCAGGCACGAACGGCAACATCAGGACGATCATACCTGCCAAGGTAAGGATCGAGAGGACCAGGGCGACACGGAAACGCTTGAGGATCTTGGGCACTTCGAGGAAAAAGTTGGATCGTTCGACTTCCTTTTTCGTGGCTCCCCATGTGATATTGTACGAGACCAAATGAGCGAGAATAGCCTTGCTAAGATGGATCGAGAGACCACCAAAGAAGATGAAGCTGCGATGCGCATTAGTCATAGCACACCACATAAGAGAAGCGACTTACAAGAAGGGAATCCACATAATGTTTTCAAGGAGCGCTCCCAGGAAGCCCTTGTGTCCCAATCGATACATGAGAATCGAATAGGCAAGGTTACCACAGATGGGGAACACAAAGCTGATACCGATCCAAACCTCGAAACTGCGAAGGTAGTATCCGTCCGTAGGCAGCTGCCAACCGAGCAAGAGGTAGTTGAGCAAAGCCAAGACGAATGAAGCGGCGATCCCATAGTACGAAAACATGTACGCCATCATACTGAGCTTGTAATGTACCGGAGCATCGGACCAGACAAACTTGTGGAGCTGGCCGGTGATAGGACCCTTGGTGAACCACTTGATGAATGGGTTGAAGATGAGTTCAGAGCAACCAAAGGCATACTTTTCCTATAACCGAGTCAGCGATATTCGACGACGAGTTCGGTATGACGCACCCATCGGTTCAGCTCGTCGTCAGCCGTCAGCGACACACCCTCCTTGAATCCACCATCGGAATAACTCGCCCATCGCACGGTATACCCACCGAGCTGCAACCTCAGCGCCATATCGAAATCCTCCGACACATTGCTCTCCGACCAAATCTTCCTCTCTCCATCTATCGGATCAATAAAGGCCACATCCTGCAACGCACTCCACCTCAAGAACGCATTATGTCCGACAAAGGCCGCAACTTCTCCATTAGCACAAGCAAACGAGATGGCGTGGTTGATACGGCGAGTAAAGTGGGCGATACCGTTTTCGAAGTAGTTGTGGGCGACCTGCATAACGTCCGATTCGTGCTGAATAACTCCGACCTCGGGAGATTCGGCCATTTCACGAGCAGCATCACGGAGACAGTCTTCGGGAACGATGGTGTCCGAGTCGACGATGAGAATGATCTCTCCTACACGGCAAGAACGTCCATGAGCAGCCCATGGCCTAAATCTCTTTCCACTCTCCTCAAACACTTCGTCACACGCAGCCTTTAATGCCAAATCTTCTATCGCC